GTCAGTGTCAGACCAAAACGCTTTCCAAAATGCATGACTCATTGAACAGTGTCAGTGCCAGTGTCAGACCAAAACGCTTTCCAAAATGCATGACTCATTGAACAGTGTCAGTGTCAGTGTCAGACAAAAACGCTTTCCAAAATGCATGACTCATTGAACAGGCCAGGTCAGTGTCAGACCAAAACGCTTTCCAAATGCATGACTCATTACAGTGTTTCAGTATGGCAGTGTCAGCATGACTCATTGAACAGTGTCAGTGCCAGTGTCAGACCAAAACGCTTTCCAAAATGCATGACTCATTGAACAGTGTCAGTGTCAGTGTCAGACAAAAACGCTTTCCAAAATGCATGACTCATTGAACAGTGTCAGTGTCAGACCAAAACGCTTTCCAAGATGCATGACTCATTGAACAGTGTCAGTGTCAGTGTCAGACCAAAACGCTTTCCAAAATGCATGACTCATTGAACAGTGTCAGTGTCAGTGTCAGACCACAACGCTTTCCAAAATGCATGACTCATTGAACAGTGTCAGTGTCAGTGTCAGACCAAAACGCTTTCCAAAATGCATGACTCATTGAACAGTGTCAGTGTCAGTGTCAGACCAAAACGCTTTCCAAAATGCATGCCTCATTGAACAGTGTCAGTGTCAGTGTCAGACCAAAACGCTTTCCAAAATGCATGACTCATTGAACAGTGTCAGTGTCAGTGTCAGACCACACCGCTTTCCAAAACAGTGTCGGTGTCAGTGTCAGACCAAAACGCTTTCCAAAATGCCTGACTCATTGAACAGTGTCAGTGCCAGTGTCAGACCAAAACGCTTTCCAAAATGCATGACTCATTGAACAGTGTCAGTGTCAGTGTCAGACAAAAACGCTTTCCAAAATGCATGACTCATTGAACAGTGTCAGTGTCAGACCAAAACGCTTTCCAAGATGCATGACTCATTGAACAGTGTCAGTGTCAGTGTCAGACCAAAACGCTTTCCAAAATGCATGACTCATTGAACAGTGTCAGTGTCAGTGTCAGACCAAAACGCTTTCCAAAATGCATGATTCATTGAACAGTCTCAGTGTCAGTGTCAGACCAAAACGCTTTCCAAAATGCATGACTCATTGGACAGTGTCAGTTTCAGTGTCAGACCAAAACGCTTTCCAAAATGCATGACTCATTGAACAGTGTCAGTGTCAGACCAAAACGCTTTCCAAAATGCATGACTCATTGAACAGTGTCAGTGTCAGTGTCAGACCAAAACGCTTTCCAAAATGCATGACTCATTGAACAGTGTCAGTGTCAGTGTCAGACCAAAACGCTTTCCAAAATGCATGACCCATTGAACAGTGTCAGTGTCAGTGTCAGACCAAAACGCTTTCCAAAATGCATGACTCATTGAACAGTGTCAGTGTCAGACCAAAACGCTTTCCAAAATGCATGACCCATTGAACAGTGTCAGTGTCAGACCAAAACGCTTGGCAAAATGCATGGCCCATTGAACAGTGTCAGTGCCAGTGTCAGACCAAAACGCTTTCCAAAATGCATGACTCATTGAACAGTGTCAGTGTCAGACCAAAACGCTTTCCAAAATGCATGACTCATTGAACAGTGTCAGTGTCAGACCAAAACGCTTTCCAAAATGCATGACTAATTGAACAGCGTCAGTGTCAGTGTCAGACCAAAACGCTTTCCAAAATGCATGACTCATTGAACAGTGTCAGTGTCAGTGTCATACCAAAACGCTTTCCAAAATGCATGACTCATTGAACAGTGTCAGTGTCAGTGTCAGACCAAAACGCTTTCCAAAATGCATGACTCATTGAACAGTGTCAGTGCCAGTGTCAGACCAAAACGCTTTCCAAAATGCGTGACTCATTGAACAGTCAGTGTCAGTGTCAGACCAAAACGCTTTCCAAAATGCATGACTCATTGAACAGTGTCAGTGTCAGTGTCAGACCAAAACGCTTTCCAAAATGCATGACTCATTGAACGGTGTCAGTTTCAGTGTCAGACCAAAACGCTTTCCAAAATGCATGACTCAGTGTCAGTGTCAGACCAAAACGCTTTCCAAAATGCATGACTCATTGAACAGTGTCAGTGTCAGTGTCAGACCAAAACGCTTTCCAAAATGCATGACTCATTGACCAGTGTCAGACCAAAACGCTTTCCAAAATGCGTGACTCATTGAACAGTGTCAGTGTCAGTGTCAGACCAAAACGCTTTCCAAAATGCATGACTCATTGAACTGTGTCAGTGTCAGTGTCAGACCAAAACGCTTTCCAAAATGGATGACTCATTGGACAGTGTCAGTGTCAGTGTCAGACCAAAACGCTTTCCAAAATGCATGACTCATTGAACAGTGTCAGTGTCAGTGTCAGACCAAAACGCTTTCCAAAATGCATGACTCATTGAACAGTGACAGTGTCAGTGTCAGACCAAAACGCTTTCCAAAATGCATGACTCATTGAACAGTGTCAGTGTCAGTGTCAGACCAAAACGCTTTCCAAAATGCATGACTCATTGAACAGTGTCAGTGTCAGACCAAAACGCTTTCCAACATGCATGACTCATTGAACAGTGTCAGTGTCAGTGTCAGACCAAAACGCTTTCCAAAATGCATGATTGAACATCGGAAGGCAAGACAATGTACTGGGGCAGCGATCAGGACTGATACATTGACCTGCCGACCTGCTGAAGATGAATCTTGTGGTTTCTCCACTGATTCATACACTTTTTGTGGTTGCTACACTGCAACTCGGGGAAAAGGGTTCAAAAGATGGATTTGAGAATCAGCCACATTAAGTATATATTTACATAATACTACTATATAGCTATTTATGATATATGTTTTATCTTCTTCTAAGTTGGATTTAGTCCAAAACCAAAACCAAGCCAATCTTGCGTTGCGACTTTGGATCTCGCTGGTAGCGTCCACGTTACAAGGTGCCAGGTGTTTGGCTGGCCGTGTACACGGCAGATGTCGGCAGAAATCAAAAGAACCTCCACGGCAATGGAGCTTTCGCGGCCTGATTATGACATTAAGGTGACCCGTATCCTCTAGGTAGAGAACTATTTCCAACAATGGGTTAAAAGTTAGTTAACCAATATTTAGATTATATAGATGATATAGTACTGATATAGCATGAAATTTAGAAATATTGTCTCAATAATAGCTGATAATATAATACGATATAATGGTTAGTTGACCAATATTCACATTCTTTCATTATTTCCTAACATTTACACCCATATGCTCCATTCACCCCAATGTTCCAATTACTCCTAGATGTGGGTCATTGTTACTGTTAGTGTAGCATGTTGGTAAATAGTCCATGCATGATGCATGGAACATTTGGGTGAATGGCGTGTACAGTATAAGGCGTTTGTTACACGTCGTTTTCCGTTATATCCCAACAAAGGAGGATAAAATCTGGTTGTCTAACCATCGATCCTAACTTCCAGGAGCCTGCAAGTTTTTGACGAAATGTAACTAACAAAG